CTAGCTATATAATAGGCAAAGCTGACTTCCCCAAAAGGAGGCATCTATAAGCTCTAAAGTACTTCTTGCACTGAAAAACCAGTGCTTACAATACAATGTATCTCTCAGAGGTCCTGTTTAGGAAATCAACTTAAAGTGCCATTTTAAAATACTAAAAACAACATCCACTTTCTACTGTTACGTTAGACTAATGATCTTATACTTTAGATGTTCGATTAAAACAAATCAAAATAAAAATTAAAAGCCCGACCATAAAAGTACACTGCAGTTTCAGGACCTTTAAGGCAGCAGAGTGCAAAGTCACAGTCAGGAGAGGGGCCAGGTTTCCTTCAATCAAAAAAATCCAAAAAACTCTACCAGGAAAATAAAATGAAGATCCCTTTTGACTTTTCTCCATGTAACTTCCCAGTCAAAAAGTATATATCACATTGAGTCACCACACTTCAAATGCATGTTTTATGTAAATGCTATTAATGTAAGCCAGTAATACTTCGTATGAGTCACTGTCACTTACACAGTGATAGCATTTTTGTATTTGATTGATCTTCACAAATACCCCAGGAAGTAAAGCAACTGGCTATTGTTTACAACATAAATGGCAACAATAAAGACTGATAAAATTACATTACTTGTGTAAGAAAATTAAACATCCTGACTCCCAATCCAATATTTCTTTAACATTCCATCACTCTGGCAATATAACCAGAAGTAAGGTTTTAGATTAGTGACTTATAGACAAGTAGTAAAGAAAAATTAGATTTTTTATTTCCTGTGATGTCAGAGAAAATTCTTAACTCACTTTATTCATTTTCTAATACTTCCTTCAGAAAACCCTACAGGCCTTTAAACAGGTTTCCACAAATTAAATGTCCTTTAAAAAAAAAAAAAAAAAAAATCCCGAAATTTATCAGTTAGTTGCAATCCTCCCAAGATTACAGGACTAAATTTCATTTTAGAACTCAAATTGAGGGATTTTTTTAAGTTTATCTGGTATAATGCATTGGACATGGCCTTTGAAACTGACTAATTTTTTTAGCTGTTTTAATCTAATCAAAATTGCAGAAGTGCCAGGAAGACAATTCTTAAAAATGTAAATTATCACTTACAATATGGCAACTTCCTTACCTTAACCACACACACACAAACAATCCAGCCTCTGGTAGTTCTGCACTGTTAGATGAGTCTGCATTTTCTGTTTTAAAATACCCTAGGCTTAACAGGCCCTGCTGCTGTGTCCTTACTCTCTACATGGCCAGAAACTGCTACTTCTATGATCTTAGCAGTTCATACTTGCTTCATTTTTTAACATCTGTATTTAACTTGGACAAGAATACAATTATATAACCTGAACAACAATACTGTGGAACTAGTTCATAAATCAGGCATGTTATTTATGAATGTTCCTTATGGCCTGTAAATGGACCCAAACATCTAGTAAGACATTGAGCAACACAGTACACAAAATATACAAAATTAAAATGTAGAAAATATGGAAAAGAAATTGAAATTTGAGGAGAAGTAAACTAAAGAAGATAACCCAAGAAAATAAAGTATGAATACTATAGCTTGGGAAAAAAAGGATCAAAATGGTTATTTTATTAAGAGTTAATGGAAAGAGGTAAACCCCAATTTTTCAGACTGATAATTACAAAAATACATAGACTGTTCCTATAGAAGAACAGTATGGCCCTTCCTATATGACAGAAAACAAAATGTGGGCTAAATAATATGCTACTTACCTATCAATAATAGGAGATAAAACAAAAACTAACATAATCCAAAATATCAAACACAAAACACAGTACTCAAAGAAATTCAATGAAAACAAACTTAAAATGTCCCATTTTATAATAATTGCTTACCTTCTTTATGTCCACTGTCAAGTGCTTACAAAATAACAAATAAAAGTCTGCTATATCCAGATCTGGATATACTTTCATATTAATATCCCCATATTGTGCCATCTGATGGATTTACAGGAATAATCAAGATTGCACTGCCTTAACTAAAGAAAGGTTAAGCACTTTTTTCTTCTATTTTACTGTACAAAGTCAAAAGAAAACTGAGCAAAATGAGATGAGATGTACAAATGCCAACAATTATTGTCACCTGGTTTTTTTGACCTTTCCAGTCCAACTAATGAATTCTTGTCCTTTTCAACAATTACATTTTTGTTGTTACTTATTTGCTTTTTAAAGTAATGTTTAAAGAGTCTTTATAACTGGAATTGCTGCACCTATATCCATTTTTAAATTTCCTATAGAAAATTTAGGAAATACTGAGACAGGCTAGTAAGCCAGGACACTGGAAATGGGGAAACACAGAGTTAAAAAGCAGTTTGCAGCCACCTGCAAAATCTAGATGCCAAGCAGTTTTCAGCCATCTATATAGTAAATCCTATCTTCCCTAAACCAGGAACACTTAAGAGTGAATGGTTAGCACTTCTCATCCGGAACCAGAGGATAAATGGCTTAAATCACCTTACTCAGGAAGACAGCAAAAATCCAATTAATGCCCTTTACCAACCACACCCAAGGACAGATGAAGTTAAGAGAATCTCATTTTGGTACAGCACCATAAAGCTGATGAATATTCTACTGAGATCCTCCCCTTTAAGTCCCCTCAAAAAGGAGGTCCAGCATGCTCTCCCACCTGGGAGCATGTCCAAGCCTCTCCCCACCCTCCCCCACAGGCACGCATCTCCAAAACTCCAAGGAATCCAATGAGCTTGCAACCAGGGCTGCAATGGACAGTGGCAGTTCGTCCCAGACAAACCCCCTGACCCTGTCCCCAATGTCCCCTTTTCTCTGACTTCTTAGTGAGCCAAAGCAGCCCAACCTAGGCTCATTTCCCCAGCCCTTACTATTTCACTGTCCCCAGCTTTAATAAATGTCCTCTAAAATTCACCTGGACTCGTGCTGTGAAATTTTTCCTGCACGAAGTCAATAACCCACACACTACAGGCCGGCCCCAGGCAGACCCTGCTTAGAGCCAGGTTCCGTTTCTGGTAACAATACCAGAAAGTATAAAAAAATTATTTGTAGTTTCGCTTTTATAACTCTATTGTTTGAGTCTTATTTCTGTGGACCAAAAGGAGCCTCACCACATACTAAACCTGGTAAGTTCAGGGGAGACCTTTTTTCATCTGCATAACATACCTTTGGTAATTTCCTTTTTCCAGGACGCCTCACTGCACCAGAGCAGAGACCACAAAACCCCTCACTGTTAGTTACTGTGTTGTTAACTGCTAACTATCCTATATCCACAAATGTAAAAGATGTGTGTCTATGCATTTTACTTTTTATCCAATCCCAGAGATTTCCCTGCTTTGCTTTCCCCCACCTCCCTAATCACCAATGGATGACATATAACCCCTTATGCCTCCTCCTTTTATTACCATGTATAAAATAGGGTGCAAAACTGCCATTCTCTGGAGCATTTTCTCAGTCTGTTGAGATTTTGCTTCCCAGCAATGACCGTCAGTTTGGCTCAAATAAACTCCTAAAAATTCTCTACAGATGTAAACGTTTCTTATGTTGTTCTATGTGTAGTTTACAAAATTAGAATTACAATATTCTCCAACCTATTTTATTTAAAAATTAACATTTCACTCAATTAAGAACGATTTTAGACAATGGGACAATTTTAATAGCTTCTTTCATTAGAATCTCATCCCTAGGTAAAGGGTTAAAATTATGCATTAAAATAATACCCCCACTTCCTCTTTCCCTTCCCTTATCAGAGCTCAAGAAAGGCTAGTAAACCATTCTACATTAGGATGGTGTGATTAATATCACCGAAAAACTGGGGGCCTAATAAACCTTAAGCCAAAGATATGATGGGCTAATAGTGACATTTCAAGCACTATCCAGGGGATGTGACCTTATTGGAAGATGCAAATCTCCTAAAATTCGCAAAACTAACGTAGTTACCTATTCCAGCTACAAGAAAACTCCATTCAGTTTTTTAATAAAGCTAGAGTGGAACAGTGTAAATTTCACCCACTCAACAAAGTATGGGCTGAGTTCGTTAAAACTGGCGCTCTCAAAGGCAGAACAGGATTCACTAAACAAGGGAAACATGGAAGGCATGCAAGCCACTGTATGGACACCTAATCCAGAGGATGTACCGATTAGGAAGGCCGACGTTAAAGGGGGCGGGTGGAGGAAGACAAGAATCTGGAGATTTGATCGTTATCAGCGCCTGGCGCACGAGCAGAAATCTCACCTGCATTACTTAATATTTAATCTTTCTATTCCTGGCATCACGGGGCTCAAACGTCACCAAAAAAGATGGGCCGGCTGAAAACCCTGCAGGGTGACGCACATAACATCTCACCATATGGATTCTCCCCACCAGGACCGAGAAGAGCCCCAAGCCAGCCCAGTGAAGAAAGGAGGGTCCCCGGAGCCGTAAGCTCCCCCGCACCCCTGGCGCAGAGCTGGGGTCTGCACGTGGCGGTCGGAGGCTGCAGGACCACCAGGCCCGACGACTCACAGCCGACTCGGGCTTCTGCAGACTCGGGTTCCGCGACCACCCGCGCGGCCGCACGCCCCAGGCGGCGGGAGTCGAACTCCGGTCCCGCCAGCCCCAGCCCCAGAGGAGACCGCGCGAGTGCCTCCGCCAAGCGGCTGAGCCGCCGGAGTCAGCCAGGGCCCCGCGAGGTGGCCGCGACTCCTCTCTCGGGGTCCAAACCCGCACAGCACCGTACCTGAAGGGGCAGCGCCACCTCCGCCTCAAAGCGCCGGCTGTCGTGGTGGCGTTGGTCACAGCTCCGAGCGCAGTGACGCCTCGTATAAAAACAACAACCTGCTCTAGGCATCCGCCGACGGGAGGCGGCGGCCGGCGGAGCGCCGCAGCGCAGGCTGGGACTCGTAGTCTCGCCCGCGCCTTATGTCCTGAGGCGGCGGAAGGAAGAACTACCACTCCCGAAGGGCAGCGCAGCCCACCGCCCGGAGGCTACAGGAAGCTGGGCCAGGAAACCGCGAGCCCCACAACATCCGGTCCCGGGAGCTAGAGAGGCTGAGAGGCGCCGCCGCCGGTTGCTATGGAGACGGGCTGCTACAATCACTCCAAAGGGTTCGCGGTTTCACCCCGGAGGACTGTTGGGGATATTGATCCAGCCGCCGTTTCACCTTCTCTTTGCTGCTTTAATTGGGTGTACTAAAAAGGCTGCAGCCCCTGGGCACTCGCTGGCCTTGTCATCTGCTGCGGGAAGACACTGCGTTTGCCGAAAAAGTAAAGAAGATATGGAGAATGACCGAGTACGACTGGGTAGATTTGGGCAGAGGGGTGGATATTTTTGAATGCTGGTATTCTTTGCTTTAAATTTGGGGCACCCATACTCTCAGCTTCCAAAAAAACCCCAAAAACACCTTTCTAAGCAACCACTGGGCTACACAGATAAAAATGCACAGTATTGCATTAAGCCAGGATTGGGGATGGTATGCAATTTGTACCCTATTGCAAACCATGAGGTGATGGCTTTGAACAAGAATAATGTACCTTGTTAATTTTTCATTTATTTATATTGTACCTCGTTCAAAAAAAGATGGGCTACAAAGGATATGGTGCACTCACATTGTTGATGGTAACTAGAAAGGTAAGGTTTAACTGTCCCCCAATTATGGCAACAACAAAAAAGTTAAGAAAAACATTAACAAGGAAGATGGGGTGCCTCAAAATTAGACTTTTGGGGCTTTTGCTTTGGGTGTTACTATATTTAACGTCAACTGTGACACCAAAAAAGAAAAAAAAAATTTAATTTTATAATTACAGCTTCTCTAAGGGGTATTTTTATTATTTCAATGGCTTCTTTTATTTATTTTTTAATGTGTGTGTTTATACTGAAGGATTTTGAAAAATCAAAGTGGCCAGGCTTTCTCTAATTCTAGGAGAGCCTTAAAATGTAAATTAGTAAAAACGCTAATGCTATCTATTTGTAGATTTTTCTTTTCAAGGCACTTTCACGGCCAATTCTAATACATAGTCAATTTTAAAAGTATCATTTACAATTTTAATTCACCTTTTTATCCTTAAATAAAAAACAGTTGCTGATCCCATGCATAACTCGCAGAGAACTTGAAACAATACTTTTCTTATCCTTTAGGCTCTTTTATTTTGTTTTAAATTGAATATAGTTTGAACTCCACTTTTTAAGGATATCAGATTTGAAAAGGGTGAAACCCTAATAAGAAAGCTGCAGTGGGGGCCTATGACATAAAGTAAAAGCAATGGGTATTTTGTTTCTAAGACTATAAACATTTGTGAATTAACTTGGAGATCTAAAAGATTTAGGTAGACATTAACTTGCAGATTGTGTGGTATAAATTATACCAATAAAGTTTATTAGCTAATGTATTGTCTATTTTGACTAGATTTGGTTTTCTGTATTACATTTTGCACCAAAGCTGATCAGAATTTTAGAGCCAGTAGTAGAGGGTGATTTGATGAGAGTACTCTGCGACTGAGGTTGCCCTGAGCAACCTGACTGAGTGTCTGTACATAAAGTAAATTAGAGTTCCCACAAATCACAGGGCAGCCACCTTCCACCTAAGAACCTTTCCCTGTGCAGAGGAAACCTAGACATTTTGAGAAAAGCTGTCCTGTTGATATACCATAGGATTCTGGGGTCTTACTATTATCCAATGTCTGCTTTTGATATTTAAAAAAAATTAATACACAGTATAAAAAGAATCGCAAGATCTGATGAGTTCTATTTCCAGTTTTGCCAGCTTCCTACAAGATTATGAATATTAAATGAGTATTAGTAAATTATAGTGTTATTAACCTGTAAATATCAGAACTGAACTCTGAAAGAGCATACAAAAGCACTGAGGTAAACGTGCAGAAAAGAAAATGGTGAAAAATGATTCCATTTATATAGCAATTTATCTTTACATCCAGTTTTGTTTCAGTTTAACTCCACAAGCACATGGTCTATGGCAGATTTTTTTTAAACCAATTTTACATATGATATGCAAAGGGGAAAGGATGATGATGAAGAGTTGGAACATAGCTGATAATCATTTAAATCTAAACAAAGGAAGAGAAAGAGAAAGTGTACTAGATACTTTACATTTGCAGATTTGAACTCAGGCTTTCACAACAAACAGGTTCCTGACATTGGGACATTAAGTAGAGTAACCCAGGAATTCAGGGTGAGCTTGGCTACACTAAAGAGGAACATAACAACATAACTAATCTGACCCAAATTTGAAACAAAAAGGCTTTGTCCTCACGTTAACCTGACAGAACAGCTCTATAAACATTTTTATCTCCAATCTAGAGTTGGAGAAACTGAGATTATATGCTTGCAAAATTTTAAAGATTTAGAAGTCTTAAAGGGTCTCAGCCTCACGAATCATAACCTGCTGTAGTGTCTTCAAAGAAAAAGAACTTGAATGCATATAAACAATCTTCTGCTTATTCAACCTTAAAAAGTCAGAGTTACAGTACCCTAACAACCACTATGAAGTTTTTTAGATATAATTTCTGATCTGGAAGTTCTTGTATCTTAAGTATTCTAGAAACTGCCAATTTTTTTTGTTGTTGTTTTAACTACCAAAACTTTTTGCCTACATGGACCCCCGCACGAGTTCATTTATTAAGGGCCTTATTGTGAGTAAAATGCTTTATCATGAATAAATATACACTTTCCTTTATGCTTTTTGAATAACTGAAATCACTTAGTTCCTATTGCTATATTTGAAGAGCCCTGACATAGGAGTCCTCAGATTAGGAAACAAAACTATCTAATCCATCTTCTTTGTTTTATACTTACAGACAAGGAACACGAAACCTTGTAAAACAATTTCATCAAACCACATCAGAATCCATAACTAGCGACACTTAATATGTGCTTTTATAACTCTTACAGCAGGAAGACTACAAATACAAAATTTCCCAGTTAGTTTGCTTGACATGGTCTTGTATAATCCATGTAGGTTCATTATGGCCCTGTCTCTCTCCATGCCCCCTCACTCCTTAACCTACCTCCCAAAAGCCTTTTTAACTCCTGACCACCATTTAGCCACATCTTTCATAACAAATGTGTAGCCCAGCTCATACAGCAGGTCCTTGTGATAACATTCATGAGATGCCCTAGTAACTTAACTCTTGTTTATATCAGTTAGCCTATGGTAAAATTGGTTTCACTCAAGTCCCAAGAATCTCAACAACCTTAAGTGAAGACTTCTGTACTTGAAGTATGGTCTAGGAACCAGCAACTTGAACATCACCTGCCTGCTGTAGCTGCTTTCCACATCCATTCAAGGCCCTGACAGCAGCCAAAGTAAACATACTAAAAACTTACATCATGGCATGCTTCTCCTTAAAACCCTTAAATAACTTGCCTTTGTTTTTACTATAAAGGTCCAAATGTTTAACATAGCCACCACCACCCTGGAGGATCTGGCACCTGCCCCTCTCTTCTCAACTTATGTGACTTTGGCCACACTTTTTCTTTGTTCCTACCTCTCTTTTCCTTCCTTGCCTTACAGTCTTAGAGTCAATGACACTTCACCAGATTGGCTTTCCTTAGCCCCCACACTACTTAGAATTTCCTATATGTTTTCATAAATATCAGGGTTTTTTCCTTCATAGCACTTAACCACAATTACTCTTAAATGCCCTCAAGAGAACAGGATTCACAAAAAAGTGAAAGGGATAAGGCCAAGTTTTCTGTTTTGTTTTTCCAGCTTTATTGAGATATAATTGATACTGTGTAAGTTTAAGGTGTACAACACGATGGTTTGATATATGAATATATTGTGAAACAATTCCCACAATCAGGTTAACATCTCCATCACTTCACATAATTACAATTATTTTGTATGTGTGGTGAGAATATTTAAGATCTACTCTTAGCAACTTTCATGTATATAATACGGTATTGTTTGCTATAGTTGCCATGCTGTATATAAGATCCCCTGAACTTAAAACTGGAAGTTTGTACCCTTTGACCAACATCTCTCCATTTTTCCCCAACCCTCCCCCAGACACTGGCAACTACCACTTCTACTCTGTTTTAATAAGTTTGGCCTTTTTTTAAGGTTCCAAATAATATGTGAAATTATCCAGTATTTGTTTTTCTCTGTTGTGTATTTGTGCCACATTTTCTTTATCCACCCATCCTTCAGTGGACACTTAGGTTCTTTCTGTGTCTTGGCTGTTGTAAATAATGCTGATGCTCCCACTCTTGGCATGTGGGGATGATGATCTAACCAAGTGAGGTGCTCTGCCAAGGCCCCAATTTACATCCTAACCAGCAGTGCAAGGGTTCCCTTTCCTCCTCATCCTGCCCAACACTCACCTCTGGACTTTTTGATAACAGCACTTCTAATATGTATTAGATGATATCTCATTGTGGTTTGATTTGCATTTCCCTTATGATTAGTGATGTTGAGCAGCTTTTCATGTACTTGTTGGCCATTTGTATGTCTTTGGAAAAATGTCTATTCAGATCCTCTGCCCATTTTTTAATCAGATTGTTTGTTTGGTTTTTGATTTTGAGTTATATGAGTTCCGCGCGTGTGTGTGTGTGTGTGTATAAACTATTGTGGGTTTTTTTTAATATATCTTTATTGATTTCAGAGAGAGAATGGAGAGGGAAAGAGAGAGATAGAAACATCAATGGTGAGAGTCACTGATCAGCTGCCTCCCACACACCCTCAACTGGAGATCGAGCCCGACACATCCTCAACTGGAGATTGAGCCCGCAGCCCAGGCATGTTCCCTGACTGGGAATCAAACTGCGATCTCCTGGATCCTAGGTCCACTGAGCCACACCTGGCCAGGCCCTTGTATATTTTCAATATTAACCTCTTAACAGATATATGATTTGTATACATTTTCTCCCATTCTGTAGGTTGTCTCATTCTGTTGGTTTCCTTGCTGTGCAGAACTTTTTGGTTTGATGCAGTCCCACTTGTCATTTTGCATGTGTTGCTTGTGCTTTTGGTGTCATATCCAAAAAATTGTTGCCAAGACTATTATTAAGGAGCTTTGTCCCCATTTTTTCCTAGGAGTTCTGCAGTTTAAGTCTTCATTTCGAGTTAATATTTGAATGATATTAAATAGCGTTGGAGCTAATTTTAATAGTTTTGGAGTTTTCCCCCCAGAACTTTATAATTGAGATGATTTGATGTGTTTATATTTTAGGATAAGGAAAGTACTTCAGCTTCAAATTCAGACACAGAAATGAAACCTGAACAACTGCCTGCTTGTGTGAACCCCGGCAATCCTGTGTTTTCATGTATGTTGGATCCAAAGACACTTCATACAGCTACCTCACTATCAGAACCTAAGATGATTATGTATAAAACCAATTCAAGTACTTATGGTGAATTTTTACCTATGCCACAGTTTTTCCCCTGCATTTATACTCCAAGAGAGCAAGAATTTTCAAACCATATCAGAGCTACGGGACTTTATCGAAATAACACTCTAAACACTGCACCTGACAGAACCAGAACCCTTGATTTTCCTAATTTTCAACACACTCTGTGAAAATATATTCCTAAGGCTAGAATACCTAATTGGGAATATAAAAAGATTTGAATTTTTAAAAAATATCTTTAAGAAATAAAGTATTTCAAGATAACTGAGTGACATTGACTTCTTAAATAAAAATGTGTTCAGAATAGCAGAAAAGGTAGAAATGTTTTTGTACATTCTAGCTTTATTTAGTATATGTACTCCACAAGCTTCAAGAAACTTTTGTGATCTCAGTTGTCTACTGAGTATATTTATCAAGAACAGAACACTGAAGCTCTAAGAAAAAGACTGAATTAAGGAAGACTGACCAGTAATTTCCCACTTTTGTGTTATTTTAAATAATGGCTTAGAAGCTGGGGAAATGTCAGTTCCCTCTGCTAGGTTCCTGGAAGAGATGACTTTTTTAAAAAAAATTTTTTTAAGTTGATTTTAGAGAGAGGTGGGGAGAGAGAAAAACATCTATTTATTGTTCCCCTTATTTATGCATTCATTAGTTGCTTCTTGTGTGTGCCCTGACCCGAGCTCAAACCCGCAATCTTGGCAGATCGGGACAAAGCTCTAACCAATTGAGCTACCAGGCCAGGGCAAGAGGACTTGTTTTTCATTCATTCAGCACATAGTTATTGAACACCCACTTATGGCAAATACTATACAATGTAAATGTAACAGAAATAAGACCGTCTTTTATTGTTTTGTCACCAGAAAGGAGACCTGAACCTGAGCTTGTCTCCCTAGGGCCCCTGGTAGTGCGTGGGTTCTTGACCTTGTGCAGGAAAGCTTTCACAGCTCGAGTCCAGGTTATTTTTAGAGGACATTTATTAAAGCTGGGGACAGTCAAACAAGGAAGGGCCTAGGATATCAGGAGAGAGACTAGGTGGGGAAATGCGCCTAGGCTGGGCTGCGTTAGCTCACTAAGAAGTCAGAAAAGGGGGCCTTGGGGACAGGGTCAGGGAATTAGCCCAGGATGAGATGCTGCTGTCCATTGCTCCCTGGTTGCAAGCCTCATGGGATCCCTAGAGTTTAGGAGAGGCATGCCTACTGGGAAAGAAGAGAGGGAAGGGAAAGGCATGGGCGTGCTCCTGTGAGGGAGAGTGGGGTGGACCTTCATTTTGAGGGTTTTTAAGGGTTGGGGGTTAAAAGAGGATCTCAATAGAATATCCATTAGTTTAATGCTAATGTGCCAAGATGAGATCTATTCTCTTAACTTCATCTGTGCTTGGGTGCGGTTGGCAAAGGGCACTGGTTGGATTTCTGCTATCTATCACCCTGATTAGGGTGATTCAAGCCCTCTGGTTGGGGGGGAGAAGTGCAAACCATTCACTCTTTAAGTGTCCTGGGTTTACAGAAGATAGGATTTCCTAGATGGCTGCAAACTGATGTTTACCTGTCTCAGTTTCCCCGTCCCGCTTGTCCTGGCTTACCAGCCTGTCTCACTTTCAGTGAATAATATTTGGGGGGAATGAATGGGATAAGCAAGTGAGATCAACAGGAGCGATTAGTGAAGTAGGAGGAATTAGACGGCGATGCCCCGAAGCCAAGTGAAGAATCTATTTCAAACGGGAGAGAGAGAGCACACGAAAGAGAGCAAGGGGGCAAACACAATGTACACACACAAAAGAAGGAATGCTCCAGCTGTATAAAATTATTTGGGAGATAACACGTGAACTGAGACCTGAGGTTCTGATGAGGCAACAGGGAGGTAACTGCTCATCTCAACAGCAAGCATGTCAGTGAGGTGGTAGAGAGGAAAACTACTGGAGTCAGTGTAAGAAACAATGGAAGAAGTAAAAACTACTTTTGAGCAGTTTTGCTGTACTGAACAGAGAAATGGGGTGATAGCTGGAAGCAGATATGGGGCCAAAGATTATTTTTTTAAAGAGAGGATTGTAATAGAGCATATTTGTATTCCGATGGGACCATATCTTGAGAACTGCCGAGCTATAGTCACCAGTGCTAAAGGGAAAATGTAGCTGAAGACAACTACAGAGTAATGTCTCTTTAATATGTACTTAAAAATTTTCTGTTTTGTTTTCTCCTGAGCTTGGTTAATGTGAATCTGACCCCTGGAAATGGGTTGGCTCTCCAGGGTGTTCTTGATGAGTCTGTCTGAGAGTGAGACTGAGCTAGATCAATTCAGTAAGGTAATGAAACCCTGTTGTCAGGCTTCTTGGGAGATCACCTACTAACCTTTCCCCCATATAGTGGAATAAAAATCGTTTGCTCTTATTTCCCATATGGGGGAGGTTCGTTGTGGGGGTTCAGAAGGAGTCACCCCAATATGTAGCTCTGTAGTATGCTGATTACTTTAAGCTAAAGGCAACTTTAGCCTTGTTCTCAAAAGAAACTTCTGCCCCTCAACTACCTGGAAGAACTTGAAGGAGGGGCCTTGCCCATAATAAGAGATTGTTAGAAATAACCCCTTTTGACCTATCTATGGGGCAGGGCAAACTTCTAGTTACTAAACATCTGCTCTGATCATCTTACACTGGCCCTTTGAAGCCCTCAAGGATGTCTTATATACCTCAACCCCCCTTTCTATCTCTGAACTGCTCCTGCATGTGGGGTCTCTGACTGTCTCATGTATGCAGGGTTCTCATCCATACATATGTATTAAATTTGGTTATTTTTCTCTTGCTAATTTGTGTCATGACTATTTGATTATTAGACCAGCCCAAAGGACCATGAGGCTAGAGAAAAGTTCCTTCCTCCTCCACACTTGCTAGCGACAAGTGCTCTCTCTTTGACCAAACTCTAAACAAGCTCCTCTGAGCTATCTAGTATAACAATAATAAAATTATTTCCTGCCCAGCTGGGCGTGGCTCAGCAGCTGAGCATCAACCTTTAATCCAGGAGATCTGGGTTTGATTCCTGGTCAGGGCACATGCCTGGGTCGCAGGTTCGATTCCCAGTCAGGGGTGTGCAGGAGGCAGCTGATCAATGACGACTCTCTCATCATTGATGTTTCTATCTCTCTCTCCCTTCTTCTCTCTGAAATCAATAAAGATATATTTAAAAACAAAATTCTTTCCTATTCCTGTAAAGCATCCATTATAAAAATGGGCTAACTAGTGATCTTTACTTTGCATGCAATACTTTTATATAGTTTTGGTATTTGTTCATAACCAAATTTGTTGCAAAGCTTCCTTTAATAAATGTGTACGCTATGGTGTGTGTGTCCCTCTCTCCCTCTCTCTCTGTCTCTCTCAGTCTGCCCACACCTCCTTCCTTTAGACTTGTATCTTAGTTTTCTCTCTCCTAAGCTCCAAGGGCCCTTCTTTTGCCTCTGTAACTTGTTTTCTCAGCCCACATAGCCCAGCTGGCTCACTTCCTTCATGGCTCACTTCTTCAACCTCTGTGAATTTCTAAATAAACTTTTGCTGTATTTGAAAAAGACAAACAAGTGTACACTATGTATGTATGGTCATCACACAATAGTGGGGGGTTAAAGATTCTCTCCAGTTTACATTTATGTAAAGGCTACATTTAGTTTATTATCCACTTGGTATTTTGAATTAATTTCAATCAAGTAACTGGCATATTAAAAAAAAAAAAAAAGGATGCGTGGCCAGGTATGGCTCAGTGGTTGAGCGTTGACCTGGGATCCAGGCGAGCAGGGTTCAATTCCCAGTCAGGGCACATGCCGGGGTAGCGGGCTCGATCAATGATTCTCTCATCATTGATGTTTCTCTCTCTCTCCCTCTCCTTTCTTCTCTCTGAAATCAATAAATATATATTTAAATAATTAAAATAAAAAAATTAAAAAACAAAGGACTACCATAACAATTTTTTCTTATCTTTTAATCATAGGCTATTATTTGGGAGGCATGCTTTTAATCATAAAGGAAATCGGAGTGTCTGTAGGAATATTTTAGCTCTACCACCCACCACGTCCATATAAAGCAAAAGTCCCTTGGAAACCATAGGAGATTGCTCAATAGAGGTCAAATATTTCATGAATACAAATGAGTACCTGTTGCATTTAAACTAAGACTTAGAGGAGAGAGTTAAAAATATTAATAAATAATGGCCCTTAGCTCAGTTGGTGAGAGTGTCATCCCAGTAAACCAAAGTTGAGTGTTCGATCCCGTCAGGGCCCATACAAGAATCAGCCAATGAACGCATAAATAAGTGGAACCACAAATTGATGTTTCTCTCTCTCTCCTAAAATCAATAAATAAGAGTTGTTTTAAATTTAAAAATATAATAACTATTGAAGACTTTCCCTTCTACCTCCTCCAAGCTAATGGGCAATCTTTTCTGATTGGGATGGTAATAGGAAGAGCCTGAGGAAAAACTAGGTTGGCTAACAAATTTTGAATATCAAACTGGTATCTGACACACAAGAATACCTACCTTTATTTTGCTTACATTTATTTTTAAAAATAAAAACAAGTAAATGAACAAACCAGGGTTGATTATAAGAAAAAACAATCCTGCCACATCAGAAGTTCTGATAACTGGACAGGACTGCTGCAGAAGTTATCGAAAGTTGCTTTATAGAAGTAAAAGTTTCAAGGTTGCTGAGCCAGGATATTCTTGTGTTGAAAAAAACAAACAAGAACAAGGCTGTTTCATAATCCACTTGAATGACATCAGATGATCAAATATTATAAAAACGTTTCCCAGTTTTGTTTTCCTAAAAATCATCTAAATATAATCAGACAATTGTGACTACTACTGTCTGCAAAAGGGAAGCTGTACTGTGTTTGCTTAATGCTTGCATCATCACACTGATACAACACAAATGGTGCAATCCAATGCCAATAACATAACATTCTAAGCTAACATTTTACCTCTTGCTGTCCTTTTTTTCCCCCTGGTGTACTCGAAGGTACTCAAAAACTTATCTTCACCAGACAGTGTTTGAAGTTGAAATTAAGGTTTTCCAAACAGCTGTTTTACTATGTTGGAATGATCTAACCTCAAACAACAGGTGGTGGTGACATATTAAAGAAAAAAAAAGGTTCTGTACACTTGGAAACTATGTGAAAACGCCAGTACTGATTATACCAAGGTCAACTGTCCAGACAATTAAATAGCATATTTAATACAGACAAAAATACTTCATAAACACAATCTCTAATTTTAAAATTCTATCTTGTTAAA